TCTGTAAAATCTAGCATATAGGCTGAATGTCATCTCCCTAAAGAACTAATTTAGGACTACTTTAGGGACAGACAAACCATTCAGGGAAGAAAACTGTCTTCTCAACGCAAGCAAAAGGCAACTTCAATTAAAGGAATAATTAAAGCAGATACTTCAGTACTGTTAGAGATAACAGCAACTTGATAAAAGCTAGGTCAAAGACAAGCAAGTTCAGTAGATGTCTAACAGAAAGCTCCAGAGAGCAAGCAGAGAAGTCCCCCTACATTATTATAACTGTAATGAGTTTGGAATAGGAGAGAAAAATATAAACTGTCAGAAAAGGCGTTGTAATTATTGTTATTTTCTCTTTACCTTGGGGTTTATTTTCTAAGCTCTGTTAGTCTGAATTCTGAATAAAGAGCTTATGCAGTGGTGATTAGGACCTGAGGAAACAGATTATCCTGCACATGAGATGGTGTACTTGATAGTCCATTTAGTAACTTAAATAAAAAGTAACTAACAAGCAGATTGATGTTCACATTGGCCAGTCTGGTGTAGGAGTTACTTCTCTTTATGTGTTACTTTCATTAGTTAATGAATAAAGAAACTGCTTTGGCCTGATAGAGCAGAACTTAGGTAGGCAGAGAAGACAGAACTGAATTCTGGGAGGAAGAAAGCAGAGTCAGGAGAGAGCTGCCATGGAGCCACCAGGTCACACATGCTGAATATTTCCGGGTAAGAGACGACATTGTGGTGATATACAGATTAATAGAAATAGGCTAAATCAAGATGTGAGAGTTAGCCAATAAAAGGCTAGAGCTAATGGGCCAAGCAGTAATTTAATTAATACAGTTTCTGTGTGGTTATTTCGGGTGTAAGCTAGCTGGGTGGCCGGGAAAAATAAACAGGCTCTTCCTCATGCAACACCAGTCAGTTAGTTTTTATCCCAAAAGTAAGTCAAGTTGATAAAGTGATCCTTAGGCTGCCTGATTATTTCTGAAATCAAAGCCAGAAAATGCACTCCCCATATTGTCCAGATATTCTTTCCCACTGTTTGTTGTCACACTAATTTTAACAAGCTTAGACAGTATTTTTCCAATCTTCCACTTTTCATTACTCCAGGTTGCCTTTTCATATCTTCTCATTATATCAAGATTTAAGGCCAATGCTCTCCTATTGCTCTAGAAAGCATTAATCTCCCTCTTACTATCACAGGCTTCAGACTATATCCAATCAATATGGAAGTATTTCTAATAAAACAGACTATGAGGTACAGCATTTAGTAAAAAATAAGTAGTCATTTTATCAAGGCTTGCATTATTTTTGTCCTTATTAAGTGAACAGACCAAACTAAATCCACTAACCATGTGGTGAACATTATACCGCTAAATTGTCACAGGCTAATTTCTCTCACTGAGAAGTCGTCTCTAGAAAAAGAGTCACATACACACTTCAGACCCAAACCTATTTGTGTCAAGTGTCCTCCAAGGCATCCAAGGGGAATGACCCTGCTAACTCTGTGATGTAGAGGGAAGAAAACAGCAAAACAGCCCAAGAAAAAGTAAAAAAAAAAAAAAACACTGTGCCCTTGAAAACGTCTAGAAGGTAAGCTATTTTCAACAGAGGTTACTATTGTTTATCCCATGATATAAAAATGCCTGCAGTGGGAAAGAGATACCAGAAGCTCAGCCATGGGAAGCTCAGTCACAGAAAGAAAGCTCAATCAAGATTCTGGATGACTGCCTCAACTTCCTTTACTGGTTTTTGTTGGCTACCGTGTTTGATTTGATGCCATATCTCTATCTATTACTATTTGTTCATTTACTCTATAGCCTCACCTGAGTGGGCACTCTGTTCTATCCACAATGTTCTCTATTGGGAACTCCAGCTGCCTGTCTTAACAGGCTCTCCCTGTTGATTTTTGCTAAATGTTCTGAACATGATCTGACAGTATTTTGCTATTTATGTATGTGCATATAAATGTTTATTGATCATCTATGAACCTATATACCTACCTATTTCCTTCTTGTCATTTATTTTTTTGATGTCCTATTTATTTTTATTTTATGTGCATTATGGTGTTTGCCATGGATATCATGTCCCCTAGAACTAGCGTTACAGTCAGTTGTGAGCTGCCCTGTGGGTGTTGGAAATTGAACCTGGGTCCTCTGGAAGAGCAGTCAGTGCTCTTAACCACTGAGCCATTTCTCGAACTGCCATCTAGTCTTTTGTTGTGGCTTGTTATAAACTTAATGAACTCACCCATCATTCTCCAGACCATACAGAACAAATAGATTCTCCTTTAGAAAGGCCTAACTAAACATTTAAATGTAGGAGTAAAGATTTCAATCCTGGCTGTCAAGAGGGTTTAGTGTGTAAATGTGCTTGCCACACAGTCCTGGCAATCTGTGATATATCCCCTACACCAAAAAAAATGAAAAGAACACACTCCATGAGGTTATCTTCTGACTTCCACATGTGTACCATGGCATATGCATGCCTGTATGCATTCACACATTCATATAGAAATAACAAATCATTTTTTAAAAAATCTTGAATCTTTAAAAATCTCAATATTTTATTATAAAATGAACAATTCATCTATTTTTAAAAGCAAAATTTTCGAACACTGAAACTAACATGCCTTTTTCACAAACCCTTTATGACAGCCACATGAGATAAATAGATCATTTAAATATATTCTGAGATGGCAATTTTTAATTAACGGCAATATTTGCAAAGAATATACAAGTGGAAATAAATTTTAAAAAATCAAGCTGTATATGTTTCAGCTAGTTTCACTGCAAAATCTATCATTTGTTATGCTAGTAAATATTCTAATAGTAAATATTCTATCTAGTGGTTTATATATTCTGTCATCTCAACAGTTAAATTTTAGATACCAAGGACTTTGTCTTGTTAAGTACTGTATCTCCCACATGTAGCATAAAGTTTGGTACTTAGCAAGTACATAACATAAACTTTTTAAAATTAAGTTTATTACTGCATGTGTGTTTGTGCACGTGTGCACATGAAAGCACATATGCACAAGAGCCAAAGAATAACACAGGGGATGTCAGGCTCAACAGCAGGCAACTTTACATGCTAAGTCATTCTATTGGCCCATACATATACTTTATAAATGAATGCACTGTGGTTGAGGAAGGTCTTACAATTTCACACTGTAACAATACCTAATATTTACTGAGCACCTCCTATATGCTGATCACTATTTAGTAACTTTAACATGGTGAGTAGAATTAACTCATTTAAATTCCTTTTAGTATGTTTTTTAACGCAATTTTACAGAAGAACCTGAAGCATCCAGAGTTTCAGAAAATTGTTTAATCATTAGGAAGTGATGGAGCCCAGATTCAAATTCTATGTGGTTCTAGAACTGAGGCTCTCAACAATAATTAGATGCTATGTCTCTTTTTCTTTTCCATTTGACCACTAAACCCTATTATTTTATGATTCCATTTAGCCAACAAAATTCAAGTTATACAAACATAACAAAAGAAAAAAGCTGAAGACCAAAACAAAAATTATGATTATGATTGCTTTGTTCTATTTCATCTAAAAAGAAATACTTAAAATTTATCCTGCATCATTTTTAAATGCACCAATATCAAAATTTTATCATTAGATGAGAAAAACTTTCAACATTTAAATAATACAACATATATAAAATACTTGTTTAGTTGGAGCTTAAGAGAAGTGGCTGACTTCTCCTTTATTAGTCAACATATTTTCAATCATAGAGCATTATTAGCAACTATCCTTAAGAGTCCTTAGTGACAGATGATCCTGAAAACTGGAAAACTCATGCCAAAGAGTAACACATAAATATACAAATATCACTACTTGGCTGAATTTTTAAAAATTCTATCATATTATACTGTGTTAATTCTAAAGACAGTCATAAGGGCTAGTGATATATACAGAAATGGAAATATGAATACAATGTGCTTTGAGTTATTTGAAAGTACAGAGCAACACTAGACATCAAGAAAACAAAGTTTTCTTACCAATTATACACTATCAGTAAAATAATTCCTATTTACGAAGCATCCATAATTTACAGAGCTCTTTGCATAAAGTTTTCTTTCCTTAACTCATTGCTACTTAGAGATATAATATGTCTATATGAAAAAAAATGAGTGGGGGGGAGGAAGGGGAAGGAGAGACAAAGAGGAAGAAAGAGAGAGGCGGGGGGAGGGAGAAAAAAGAGGGAGAGAGATTAGGTTGAGGCAAGCCCCAAGAAAAGGAACAGATGGAGATATATGTAACAGTACTCTGGCGACATTTTCACTCACATAGTGCAAGTATAGTCCAAATAAGTCTTTTTATTTCAGTGGCTCTACTGATTAACATGTCTATAGGATAATAACAATGATAATGTCAAAGGATATCAAGAATAGCTGAATCGGATCATGTGGATAGATTTACCATGAACTGATATTCTAAGATCTAAGTATATACAGGCAAAACAATGACCTGCACACACAAATTATAATTGCTAAACAAAATTTACCTATATTTATAAGGCTATGGTATATAACAAAGTCAGTTAATGCTACTTTAGAGAACTAAAACATTTAAAACAGCATGGTAGCATACGTCTATAAACCAGTGCTTCAAAGATTGAAACAGGAAGATCCTGTGTTTGAAGCCAGAACGAAATACATAGCAAGGCTCTGTCTCAACAAGCCAAAGCAACAGTAAAACCACAATAGAAAAGTTAAGTTAATGAAAAATTTTTTTAATTCAGTCAACCATGAATTTTTGCTATAAGTCATAGAAAATCTCATCTATATAATATTTACCAATTTATATAGGGTTTTTTGTATTAGAAAGTATCATTAGATGAACCAATCAAAAAGTATTAGAATATGATAATCTTACGGACACATTTTCTACTCATGTACAATAATCACTAAGAATTTCCAGGTACTTGTCATTCACTCCTTTTAAAATTAATTTTTAAAGTTGATATAGAAATGTTTGGTATTCACTCTTACCCCTTCTTTTGGGTCTGTGTGGAGTCCTCCTCCTGCGTGCCCATGCCAACATGTTCTCTTTTCTATCAGTGGCCATGCCTGAAGAGCCTAGGTAAAAATGATACCAAGCAGTCTAGTTATTAGCTATTATGGAATTTCAGATGTCTTAATCTAATCTATCACTAAAATAAATTCAAAGGCATTATGTCAACTCTGGCATAGTAAAGCAAAACATTTCCAGAATTAACATATAGCTAAGTTTATACAAGGAATATTTAAATATAACAAATATTCAACTTACTTTTTCTAAATAGCTTTTAAAATTACTTTTAGTGACTTACCTAATATTACAGTTTTACTTCATTCTGACTTCCTTACTGTCACTCATTATGCTATAAGCAAGCAAGCAAGAAAAGCTAATATAAAGATTTATATCTCACCTGCTTTCCTTACATACATTTTTATAATTAATAAAATTAAGTTTATACAACTGGTCCTTAATCTTATTATTGTCCCTTACATACATATTTAGAAATAAAGTATTTTAAAAACTTAATAGTCAGTCTACCTTATGCTCTAATATTTTGCATACATGTTTTTGTTTGCTCTACTACACAGAAAATTTCTTAAGATCAAGAACAATATTTTTTGGAATTTTTTTACCTCTTATGCTACATACCATGGTATCTTATATAAAGGTAAGGTAGGCTTCAGTGTTTTCTAGGTTCATTTACAAAATAAAAGCTATATACACTCTCCCAAGTAGCCTTACATAATATCTTACCAACTAAAAATTTTTCAAAGGTTTTTATGTCACTGCTAAAGTCAGAGATTACATAAAGTAAAATCATTTGGAAAAATGTAACAGTTAACAAGATTAAAGTCATTTGGAAAAATGTAAGAGTTAACATGATAATGACAATTAGGCTTTACATTTAGATTTTTTTAATACTGAAAGTCTTCATGATTAAAAATATCAAATGAAGTAAATAGATTTAATGATGTTTTTGCAGTATTCATAACAATCAATAATTAATGAACAAGAGCATAGTTCTGTACAAACACAAATATGAAAATAGAATCATAAAAAGCAAAAGTGCCTTCTTATTCTTACCAGACACAAAAAGTAATAGTCAAAAATGTGTTATCGATTTTTAGATCAACACTCTCAATAGCATTTTGTAAGAAGAAAACATCAAAAGGTGATTTTTATTCTGGCAGCATCTTTTTCAGACATTTTTCCTCTAAAAGGCTAAGCAACAAGTTTTAGTAAGGGTTCTAGCAAATATCACACAAGATAATGAGGTCTTCAACAAAACAGAAGACTGAAATATAAAAAAAATCTAGTGGCATCCGGGACAATGGGTGAACATATTTTCTACATTAAAATTCAATTTAATAGTGGAAAATAAATTTATTTATACAGTCGCTGCACAAATTAGAACAAAGCTTTGTGCCTAAATTGTAAATAATTGTTAAACAGGGGAAAATAAAGTTCTTAGGATGCAGATTGTCTCCTAACTTTTTGTTCTTTTTCTACCATGAAATTTTACACATTTTATTTTGAAGCAGTGACAATTATGAAAGATATCTTTCACGTAAATTAACAATGAAAAATAACCCTCATCAAAATTTAAACTCAGTATCACTAATCCCAGGGGCTCTAACAAGCTTAAAATCCCTTGACATTCTGCTATCTGAAAATCTTCTAAGGTAAAGGAACTTTACACTCGTAAAAAATGGCAACATTCCATGTATCATATATAAATTAGGATAAATTTGAGTGTCAACAAGCTGCCATTACATTTATAAAAGCTTTCTGAAAATGTTGCTCTAGTTGGCACTGATCTCAAGGGACTCAGACAGATTTCTGCAGTGGTAGAAAAATACCAAGATTTCTTTCTGCATTCCTAGTAGAAACATACCTTCCTGCCAGTATTTATAAAAATCATGAAAAGGGAAAGTATTTGAGAAATGTAAAATAAGTAGTAAATATGCAGCATAAATTGGGAAATGTTCCATGGGCTTGCATACTTCTCCTACTAGATGTAGAAATGTTGGCTAAATCTTACCTTTGAAGCATCTAATAACTGTCTTGAATTGTCTTTTCCCCATCTCTGCCATGTAGCATTTCTTAATGGTTCTGTATTCTATTGAAGAGATTAAAAGTGAGAATAGAATTTCAGAGTAGATATTTAAAATTCTAAGATTATTCTTTTGTTCAAAAGCACACATGAAATTAAAGCCATTGTCAATGTTAGAAAGATGGTTAATATATGCCTGAAAAGACAAAAAATGTGGAAAAGGTAAAAATTATGTTACTCATTAAAATATCCAAGTGGCTTTTCTTTACATATCCTATTTCCTCTATATAGTGGCATTTTATTTTGTTTTTTAATAAATAGGGCTTGCCTGAAGATGAGAGAGTAAAACAGTCCAACTGGTTAGCCTTACATACCAGACAGTGATAACACACACCTTTAAACCCAGTAGCCAGACTAGTTTGACATAGAAACTGGGTGGAGCATGCCTTTAATTCCAGTGGTGCATGCCTTTAATCCTAGCGCTAGAGAGAAATATAAAACTGTCTCAGTCTCATTCTGAGATTCCTGGAGGCAGGATCGCCATTTCTGACTGAGGTCGAGGTAAGAGCCAGTGGCTAGCTGCTTTGCTTTTCAGATATTCAATTTGAACCCCAATTTCTGTCTCTGAGTTTTTATTAATCATGCTTCACCTCTAGTTGTCTTTGTTTTTATTTGTTCTTCTTTTTCAAACCTTTGTTTTAATAACACCCCAAAGTCTTCAACATCACTTCTCTTTTAAATTGCTTTTATACACCAACCTATGCCCAACTACATCATACTGCCACACAAGAATTAGAGTGACCTGCCAGGTAGTTATTTTCTACTCCTGGTTATGAATTCCATAAGAAGAAACAGTTACAGAGAGGAACTTGGCTAAAATGACACAACCAAGGTTTGGATATACTATAACACAACCAGAGATATGGCTATTGGAACACAGATTGCAGAGACAGATATAGAAGTGAGACACAGGAGTTTGAAGCTGAGATATGTTTCTCCACATACCCTGAGTTAATAGTTTGAGAAGACACTACCCCTCCCATTGCCTGGTCAAGGTACACGGGGAATGGGAAAAGCGAGGTGCTGAGCATGGAACAGCCAATGGATGCTGCCAAAAGAAGCAATCCAGTAACAAGTAAGTGGGCCTTCCACATTTCCTCAAAGCCTTAGTCACAGAAAGTTCAATAAGTAGAAAAAACAATATATAAATCTTCAGAAACAAAATTGTCACTAGTGGATGATAATTCTCAATCTGGAGAATTATGGAAAATCCTAATATAGACATAAAAATCTAACTTGTTTGAATTACTGAGATTAGTAACCTTCCCCACCTCCCCCACCTGGAGATATTGGTACAGAAGACAATCCAGGAGAGAGAAGCCACATCATATAGACTAGGAATGATAATGACTAAGGTTATAACATCTTCTATTTTATCCTTATTTTTATCTTTTTACTCTAGATTTTTATACTATGATAATTATTTTGTTCTAGCTTGTATCATGCCTGAAACAGGCTCTTAGGACTGTCCTTCCCCACCTTTGTGTATGTTTCTTTGTTACATTTCCTTGTGCCACTGCCAGAAGTTCCCAACTCCTTAGTACCAGAAAGCAAACATCAGAAGAGATTTCAGTCATATATTCAAAAGCAACACAGTACTCAAACAAAAAAACAAAATGCAGAAATCTACTCAAGACCCAGATGAGAAAGTTGATGAAAGTGTTCAGTAATTTAAAGGGTAATATTAAAGCATGGAGCAAGGAAAACTGAAACTCTGGAAAAGAAACACTAAAAAGTGTTGGAAATAAAGATCAATCCATCAATCAAATAAAAAAAAACAGCAGAGCCTATCAGCAATAAATTTGGTCATCTAGAACAAACTTCAGCGATGGAGAAGAAGATCAAAACAATAATATACTCAGATGTGCATTTTAATTAGCATGACCAAAATTTCCAAGAACTCTAGGATAAGTTCAAGAGAACAAATCTAAGAATTTACCATGTGGAAGAAGAAGCTGAAATAGGACTAAGGGCATATGCAATTGATTCAGTGAAATGATGGCAGAAATTTTCCTAAATCTAGGAAAAGAAGTGGACATCTAAACACAAAAGGCATTTAGAAACTCAAATAGACATGAATAGATATGACCTCTCTAAAACATATCATAGTCAAAATATCTAAAATGGAAATCAAAGAATCAATATGAAAAGCAATAAATGGGAAATGCTAACTCACTTAAGACAAGCAACAGAACAACATCAAACCTCATTATCAACCTTAAAACACAAACGTATGGCATGAGATATTCCAAGACCTGAATGTAAATAACTAAAAAGTTATTTTTAAAATAGATAGAAATGTTAAAACATTTCAAATCAAACACGAAGACAATTCACACCAAAGAAGCCAGCATTACTAAAATCAGTACTTAATAGGAATATGATACATAGAGAAAGAAGAGAGACAATCTCATCCATGACAATATGGGAAAAACTAATTTTGTGGGGAAAATAAATGAACAAAGGATAGCAAGAAAGAAACACATTGTGTTCATCAAACTACCAAACACCCAATACTAACAAGATAAGAAAACACTACTTATAATCTGACTAAGTGGAACAATGACCAGCAAATCCATAGGAACTATCAAATCCATCTTGAGAACAGTATTAAAGACATATGACCATAACCCATCATTTAAAAGATATAGTCTAGGTGGCTAGATTAAACTAAAAACAAGATACAATCATCTGGTCTCTCCACAACACTCATAAGAACATCCACAAACTAACAGTCAAAGGATAGAAATTAACCTACTAAGCAAATAAGAATCCAAAAAAAATCTGGGTACATCTTTAATCCTAGCACTCAGTAGGTAGAGGCAGGTAGATCTCTTAGTTCAAAGCCAGTCTGAACTACAGAGTGAGTTCTAGAACAGCCAGGGATACACAGAGAAATCTTGTCTCAGAAAAAAAAAATTCCTTACCCATCTCCCTCCCATCTCATTCCCAGCAGCCAGCTAGCAATTAAGAGTCCTGCTGGCAGGATGCTCCACTTCCATTAACATGCACCGGACACTGTAACCTACAAAACCCACTCTGCTGCCCAAACCCACTGAATCCATCACCCTCCATCTGGCCAAACACCCCCCACAAGATCAGCAGCTACTAGAGATACAAGCACCACCTTAACCAAACAGAAGAGGTAAGTAATTGATCTCCCAACTAAACTGCCCCAATCCATAGGCCCTAAGCCCCAGAGCACATTCCCTCCACTTCCCTCTCCCATCTCACCCCTAGCAGCCTGCTAGCAGGAAAGATTCTATCATTGAGGAAGAATATGGCATTTTTAGGGACAATACAGTCTTTACAGACCAATAATGAACAGCTAGTTGACAGGATTAATACCATCTAAAATCAAAAGTTACCTGAAAAAAATTAATATTAAAAAGAATAACATTAATTTGACAGACAAAATTGAATCCATGTCAAAGGGTACTGAGAATTCTGAAAGAATTCATACTGTTGAATTTGAAAATCAAAACTTGTTAAAAAGTTATGATAGGTTAGCAGATAGAGTATCTCTCCATGATGGCAATCTGTATGCTACCCAAATGATGTCTATGGATGAGATGTTATCTCTAAAGGAGAAACTTCAGACCTTGGAATCATATGTACAGAAAGAGGACCAGAGGCTAGGTGCCTCAATGAAATCACTAAAGATATATACAGGTTAGAAGATTCAGGCTTTACAAAAGACAATAGCAAAAAGATTTGAAATGATGAAAGAAATTATTAGAGCTGATGAACAGGAAAACAAGGCACAAGGACAGAATTCAACATCGCAAATAGCTGTCAGAGATGACTTACCCAGGGTTTTAGCTTCCTACCCTGTAATTTACTCTGATGAAGCATCAAGATCTAAAGTCCAAAAAGGATCAAAAGAAGGTAGATGGATACTATAGGAATGAATGATCTAAAAGAAATTAAGCTGTTGTAACTTATTGCTTGCATTCCGCATTTGTTAGGGAGATGATAAAGACAAGGGCTTCTAGCATTAAGGTGACACCACATGACTGGCTTCAGTTGGTTTCAGCAGTCCTGGATGATGGGCCCCAAGTGATGTTTAAATGTTATTTCAGTAAAAAGGCTAAAATTTTTAAACAGGGAAAATCAAAAGGACTTGAGACTTCCCAAGATCAAATTCTTGGTGATGGTACTTATACTGACTCCACAGGTTCAAGCTCTATACGATGAACAAATCTTGTCTCTATGCCACAAAGCAGCCTTAAATGCTGGGACACGATTCAAGAACCAAAAGAACAAATTGAATCATATACCAGGGTTAATCAGGGCCAGAGTGAACCCTTTAGTGACTTTTTACAAAGATTAACTAAGGCTGTACAAATAGGAATAACAAACCCAGATGCTAGAAGAGTACTTATTGAATCTCTGGCTTTTGAAAATGCCAACATAGAATGCAAAAAGATACTTGGGCCTTTAAAGGTTAGATCAGCACCTATGGATGAATGGAATCTGCATACAGTAAACATTGAGACATTTGATTATAATACTGAATCCTGGGTAAGAGAAGCAATTTCCAAAGGAATGAGGAGACATCAAAATGCCAAATGTTTTAATTGTGGTATAATAGGACAGCTGAGAAAGGATTGTAGACAAGAAATTCCTAGGAATAATATCTCCTCTGGGAATGGCAAGAATAGGAGGACTCAGCCCTCAGGTATATGTAGAAGGTATGGTAAAGGCTGACATTGAACCAATGAATGCAGATCAACAAAAGACAGACAAAGCAACCTGATACCATTGGAAACTCCTTGAGGGGCCTCTCGCAGATCCCCAAGCCAAAAGTGGTCCAGTCATTCCCAGTCACTGTGAACATGTCTCACCAGGAAAATTAAAAACTCCAGAGCCTTCTGTAAAAGACCATACTATTATAGATGATGGAAAACACATGGAGAATAAATCAAAAGTTCTGATAGGGAATGGGAAATGTATATTCTGGCAAACCTCTATAAATGATCAAGGACCAAGGCTAATAGTACTTGTATTGTAATTGTTGGTTATATAGACATAGGTACAGACGTGAGTATCATTGGTCCAGAATCTGGGCATCCAAATTAGCCTCTTCAAGAGGCACATATTCAATGACTAGGAATTGGAACTAAATCTCAAGTGAAACAAAACACAGGATGGGTTGACTGCTTAGCAACAGAAGTCCATAGAGGGAAACTGAGGCCATATGTGCCAATATTGCAGTGAATTTATGGGGTTGTGACCTTCTGCAGCAATGGAATACCCATATTAACATTCCTGCAGTTTCAGGAACTCATAATTCTGGGAAGAATATTATAAGGAACTATACACAAAGGTCACCAGCCATTTAGGCTGTACAAGAACAGAAAGCAACTAGCAAGCCTTCAGAGGTACTAAGAGCCCTATATTTAAAATGCTTAACTGAAAAAAACCATATGAAGAAAAGCTGCAGGCTTTAGAACAGCTGGTACAAGAGCAACTAGATGCTCGCCTTATTGAAGAATCAACCAGCCCTTGGAATTCTCCTGTATTTGTTGTTAAAAAGAAATCTGGTAAATAGAGAATGGTGACAGATCTAAGAGCTGTCAACAAGGTAATTCAACCTATGGGACCTCTACAATCTGGAATTCCTCTGCCTTCTCTATTACCATAAGGGTAACCTCTTATAGTTATTGATTTAAAAGACAGTTTCTTCACCATACCTTTATAAGAAAAGGACAGAGAAAAATTTGCCTTCACAATGCCTACTTACAGTAATTCACAACCTACTAGGAGATACCAGTAGACTGTCTTCCACAGGGAATGTTCAATAGCCTCACCCAATGCCAATACTTTGTAAGTTTGTCATTGGATATAATACATAAAAAATTCCTAAATCTATAATTTACCACTGCATGGATCATATTTTGCTATCTGATTCAAACACAGATACTTTAGAAAGAATGTTTAAAGAAGTAAAGAAAGTTTTGCCAAAATGGGGATTACAAATTGCCCCTGAAAAAAATACAGATAGAAGATTCTGTCAATTACCTAGGTTATATAATAGGTTTACAGAAAATTAGAACACAAAAGGCACAAATTAGGAGAGACCAGTTGCAGACTCTTAATGACTTTCAAAGATTGTTAGGAAACATTTTCAGTCTACTACTGGCTTTTGGGATAACACATGATCTAATAATTCATTTAAACAAAACCTGAGATGGTGATAAAGACTTGAATAGTCCCAGAGAATTAACAGGTGAAGCAGATAAGGAATTGACAATTATTGAGGAAAAATTACAGGGGCACATGTGGATAGGGTGAATCCAAATCTTCGTTGTAGTCTAGCCATATTGCCTTCCAGAATTTCTCCTACAGGAATTTTAATGCACAGGGAAGATATTATCTTAGAATGGATTTTCCTTACCACATAAACCAAGTAAAAATTAAAAACCTATATGGAAAAAGAATCTGAATTAATTATAAAAGGTAAATTGAGATTTTGTCAATTAGCAGGTATACACCCAGCAGAGATTATAGTGCCTTTTACTACTGAAGAAATAAAAAAAGTTATGGGAAGACAATGAACCATGGCTAAGAGCTTGTGCTAATTTTTGGGGAGGAATTAATAGCAATTATCCCAAAAGAGATAGACTTAACCTTATAAAGAGAACTTCTTGGATTCTTCCCCGAATTGTATGTGATACTCCAATAAATGGAGCCCATACCTTTTATACTGATGCAAGTAAATCAGGGAAGGCAGGTTACAAATCAGAAGAATTAGCTAAGGTGGAACAAAGCCCTTATAATTCTGTTCAAAAGGCAGAATTATATGCTATTCTCATGGTGCTATGGGATTTTAAAGAACCTCTTAATATAGTTACTAATTCACAATATGCAGAAAGAGTTGTTTTGCATATTGAAACCACTAAATTTATACTAGATGATACAGAATTGACTTCATTATTTACCCAGGTGCAAGCCAAAATCAGGAATAGGCTTTGTCCTATATACATAACACACATCTGATCCCATACGGGTCTGCCAGGTCCTCTTGCAAAAGGTAATGCAGAAATTGATCAATTATTGATTGGAAGCATGTTGTAGGCCTCAGAATTTCATTAAAAACATCATGTCAGTAGCAAAGGTGTAAAGAAAGAGTTTTCCATTACATGGCAACAAGCTAAGGAGATTATAAAGAGATATCTAAATTGCTCTTTTTATAACCAAACACCATTGCCTGGAGGGAGTAGCCTAAAGGGTACGCAAAGGAATTAGATCTGGGAGTTGAATGTGTTCCACTTTATGGAATTTGGTAAATTAAAATATGTACACCACACCATAAACATGTATTCAGGTTTTCAAAGGGCAACTTATTAAGCTCAGAAAAGGCTGATTCAGTAATCACACATTTATTAGAAGTTATGGCCATCATGGGTATACCTGCACAAATAAAGACAGATAATGGTCCAGCATATGTGTATAAGAAAATGAAACAGTTTTTTGCTTATTATTATATTAAGCATAATACAGGTACACCAAATAATCCTACAGGTCAGGCAGTTATAAAAAGATCAAATCAAACTATAAAGGATATGTTAAACAAATAGAAAGGAATAGAAAGTATCCCAGTAATAGATCACATAATGCTTTATTAACCTTGAATTTTCTTAATGCTAATGAGAAAGGGACAATAGCAGCAGAGAGACAGTGGATAATAGTAAAGTCTTCTGAATTAAATCAGCTTGTGTATTTCAAGGATGTGTTGACCTCACAATGGAAACCAGGAGATGTGCTATGTTGGAGAAGGGGTTTTGCTCTTGTTTCCACAGGAGAAAATAAAACTATGGATACCATCAAAATTAATAAAGATTCGCTTTGAAAAAAAGAAATCTCCTGAGAAAGAAAAATGACAGCTCATCCACAACAGTGACAACCATACAGGTGGTAAGGAAAGCATATAGAGTTGGGGGAGGGTTCTGTTCTTGTCTTTTCAGGAAAATACTCATCTTCAAAAAGTCAAGAGACCCTGGACATCTAGATGCCTAAGGAGGTAAAGGTAATTATCCAGATAGGATCACCAAGCAAAGAGAATTATGACTTACGACGACATGCCATCTGAGGGTAAGAATCTCAAAACATAAACTAAAATGATATCATGATTCACCTAAAAATCAAATCTGGCTTTGGAGTTCGACACTGTCCTTCTCTAAATCCAAGTATGTTGCTAAAATAAAAGTTCAGAGTTTCTGTCTCATATCAGGAACCATGACATGGGACAGAAAGAAAAAAGAATTTAGAAAAAATGTTACTTTTTTCATACCTATTTTTGTCTTTATCATGCCTTTAATTGAGTTTATATGTCTATATAAATAATGTCTAAGTTTTCCACAATTAACAATAAATTTTCCCGCAGTAATCTTTGAGGTTTCCAGAAGGAAGATGGGGCCCCACAACAATAACTCTGTCTGGTTGATATGACATCCTGATGCTGATAGCACTACTATAAGACCTGTTTGGTGTATCAGCTGCTCAAGATGGTTTCAACTTGGTTAGCTGAAATGGTGCACATTTTTACAACGATCTGCCAGAACTCCAAATAGGATCCTCAGAAAAACCCTACCAAATACTCAGAGACTATTTGCAATTATACCAGAAAGGAATCTTGGAACTTAACCAGCATTTTACTTTCACAGGATCCCATAGAAAGAACATCGCCCCCATGAAAGCTCGAAGTAATTCTAGAAGACTACATCCCCTCTCCCAACAAAGTTTGTCCTCAGGGTTAGGGACATCATTTAGGGGTTGATTATAATTGGTATAGGGTGGACGGTTGGGGGAGAAATTACGTAAGCTCAGGGATCTCTTTGTGAAAAAAAGGGTGGGGGAATTGGATGGGATAATAAATTAGTGTGGCTTACTCACACTAATAATAATAATAGTAATAGAGTGAATAATTGTGAGCTATTATTTATAGGCAATTTACATTGGTATAGATTCTTGTATATTGGTACAAATTTAAATTATATTGAATATATTCCTAATTTTGTATACAATATTTGTATATCTAAACAAAGTTATTTTGTCATATTGTATGTTTGTATGCTTCTACCTCTGCTTAAAACATTTTTGTATATTGATACGATTTTAAGATATATTTATCACATTGCAATGTACATTTCTACCTCTGATCAAGATACTTACCCACTGCTTACATTTTGAGGTCATTGTCCTCATTTGTTACACAGTTGTTTATTGTATAATATTCTAATATGAAGTCTTAGTCTTTAAGTTATATAGGTATTAAGAATTAAGGATCAATAGTAATCTATGTTTGTCAAAGTTAGACTAATCAGGTTCTTTAGATACATAGAGATTGTATTCTGCTTAGATAGGTAATCTTCAACCACTTCAAAGAGCTGCAGAATATGGCATTTAAATAACTTAAGGTTCTGTTGAAGTGAGACACGATTGCTCCTAGTAGCACCAAACTATTCCTGAGAGAACATTGAGCAACAAAGACACTCTACTTGGAGCTTGTTTTCTTCTTGGCAAAACTGGACTTTGGGCAAGGAACTGCCCATGCATCAACCACTGACAAAATGCATGATGTCTAGACAGGACAAGCAGGACACAAGAAAAAAGACTGTCAAACCTTGCCCACAAAGGGTAAGATGGTTTTGAAATTTTTCTTGTTTCTGAAAATGCCTGTCAGTTATTCTAGGCCTTAGCAAAAGTTGGTTGCTCCAACATTGAAAATTAGACTTTGGGTGATTGCCCAGATAGCCAGTTATTTCTGTCATTTGTTGCACACTACACGTCCTGCTTACTCAAGTAATATTATTTCCCTTCTCGGATCTTCGATAAAGTTGAAGACTTGATAGTTGTAGTTACTTTCCTCTCATGACTTGGCCAACTTATCTATGATACAAGATTTAAACTCATTACAATAGGATGATTATTGAAACATTTATCACGTTTCTTGCTTGATATATTTGTTCTTATTGTATATAATTTTGTATTGGGCTTAGAACTCTCTTATTTAAACAAAAGGGGGAGGTGCTGTAGGAATTCCTACCACTGGTAGCCTTTAAGTTACCCACCCACTTGGGCATGGCCTTTTATACTATATATGCTGACATAAAGTGCACATCTGGTCTCTCTATTCCGGCTTCAGTATTTGGTTGCTGTTCCCTGTTCGAGCAGAGCATTGTGATCCGTAAGTCTACCCCTAAATAAATAACCCTCTATTATATTCAATTCTGAGCTAGTGTGGGATTTCTTTAAAGCGTCCTTCTTCAAAAACTGAGGGAATTCTGGAAAGGGAAAATCTGGGTAAACAAACAGGAACTACAGATGCAGGTATAAACAATAGAATACAAGAGATGGAAGAAAGAATCTCAGGCATTGAAGATACAATAGAGGAAATAGATTCATTGGTCAAAGAAAATGTTAAATCCAATAAAGTCTTAACACAAAACATCCAGGAAATCTGGGACACCATGAAAAGACCAAATCTAAGAATAATAGGGGTAGAAGCAAAAGAACTCCAGCTCAAAGGCACAGAAAATATATTCAACAAAAAAAATCATAGAAGAAAACTTTCCTATCCTAAAAAAGGAAATGCCTATGAAGATACAAGAAGGTTACAGAACAAGAAATAGACTAGACCAAAAACAAGTTCCCTCACCACATAATATTCAAAAAACTAGACATCTAAATATACAGAATAAAGGAAGAATATTAAGAGCTGCAAAGGAAAAAGGCCAAGTAACAAACAAAGTCAGACCTATCAGAATTATACCTGACTTCTCAACGGTGATGCTGAAAGCCACAAAATCCTAGACAGATGTTACACAGACACTAAGGACCAAGGGTGCCAGCCTACACTACTATACCCAGAAAAACTCTCAATGAAATAAATGAAGAAAACAAGATATTTCATGAAGAAAAAAAAAACAAATTTAAACAATACCGGTCAACAAACCCAGTCCTATAGAAAGCACTAAAAGGAAAATTCCAACACAAGGAAGTTAGCTGCAGCCACAAAAGCACAGGTAGTAGACAGCCCCACACCAGCAAATCCTAAAGAAGGGAAACATAAACACTACCACTATTAAAATAACAGGAATGTTAATAATGGTCACTAATATCCCACAATATCTATATTTTTACCTATAAAAAGACACAGGCTAACAGAATGGATATAAAATCAGGATTCATTTTTGCTGCATGCAAAAAACACACCTCAACATCAAAGACAGACATTACCTCAAAGTAAAGGGTTGAGAAAATAATTTCCTATCAAACAGACCTAAGAAGCAAGCTGGTGTAACAATCCTAATAGCTAAGAAAATAGACTTCAAACAAAAGGTAATCAAAAAAGATAAAAAAGAACATGTCAGATTCATTACGTCCATCAAGATGAAGTCTCAATACTGAACTTTTAAGTCCCAAATACAGGGGCACACACATTTGTAAAAGAAACATTACTAAAGCTTAAATCACATATCAAATTCCATATAATAATAGTGGAGACTTCAACACCCCACTCTTACCAATGGACAGGTCAACCAGACAAAAACTTAATAGAGAAATAAGGGAACTAACTGATGTTATGACTCAAATGGGCTTAACAAACATCAACAGAACCTTCTACCCAAACACAAAAGAATATTCCTTTTTCTCAGCACCTCATGAAAACTCATCTAAAAGTGACCACATACTCAGTCACAAAGAAAATCTCAACAGATACAAAAAATTGGAATAAATCCTGTATCTTATAGGATCATCATGGCTTAAAGTTAGAATCAAACAATTACACAAATTATAGAAAGCCTACAAACTCATGGAAACTAAATAATGCTCAAATGAATCACCCTTGGCTCAAGGATAATAAAAATAAAGAAATTCAGGACTTCTTAGGATTCGCTGAAAATGAATGTATAACATACCCAAACTTATGTGACACTATGAAGGCAGTACTAAGAAGAAAGTTCATAGCATTAAATGTCTACATAAAGAAGTTGGAGAAATCTCACACTAGCAAATTAACAGAACACCTGAAAACTCTAGAAGGCAAACTCATCCATGAGGAGTAAACTAGAGGAAATAATCAAATAGGGCTGAAATCAATAAAACAGAAACAAAGAAAACAACACAAAAATCAATGAGACAGAGTTGGTTATTCAAGAAAATCAACAAGATTACAAACCCTTATCCAAACTAACCAAAAGGCAGAGAGAGAACATCCAAATTAATAAAATCAGAAACAACAAGGGGGGCATATGAAAAGACACTGAAGATATCCAGAGAATCATCAGGTCATATACTTCAAAAAACCTGTACTCCACAAAACTGGAAAATTTAAAAGAAAAGAACAATTTTCTGGATAGGTTCCACATGCCAAAATTAAGTCAAGACTACATAAACAATTTAAATAGACCTATAAGCCCTAAGAAAATAGAAGTAGTCATTAAAAGTATTCCAAAAAAAAAGGCCAGGGCCAGATGGCTTCACTGTAGAATTTTACCAGAGCTAATACCAATACTCCTCAAAGTGTTCCACACAATAGAAACAGAAAGAACGTTTCAGAACTACTTTTATGAAGCAACAGCTACCCTGATACACAAACCACACAAAGATGCAACAAAGAAAGGGAACTACAGACCAACCTCCCTCATGAATATTGCTGCAAAAATACTCAATAAGATATTGGGAAACTGAATCTATGAACACACCAGAAAAATCATCCACCATGACCAGCTTCATCCCAGAGATACAGGGTTGATTCAACATATCGAAATCTGTCAATGTAATCCACCATATCAACAAACTGAAAGAAAAAAATGATTATCTCATTAGATTTTGAAAAACTTTCTGACAAAATTCAAAATCGCTTCATGATAAAGATCTTGGAGAGATCAGGAACACAAGGAATATACCTAAAAATAATAAAAATCAATTTACAGCAAGCCAACAGTCAACATCAAATTTAATGGAGAGAAACTAAAAATGATTCCACTACAATCGGAACAAGACAATGGTGTGGGAGATCTTTCTGTCTATGTGTTGCTTTTATTGGTTAATGAATTAAAGAAACTGGATAGGTCTGATAGAGTAGAATAGAGGTAGGTGGAAAAAACTAAGCTGAATGCTGGGAGAAAGGAGGCGGGAAGCCATATAGCCCCGCTGGAGACAGACACTGGGAACTTTACCCAGGTTGTCACAGCCATGTGGCGTTACACAGATTAATGGAGATGGGTTAAATTAGAAGAGTCAATAAGAAGCTAGAGCTAATAGGTCAAGCAGTGATTTAAATAATATAGTTTCTGTGTGATTATTTCAGGGCTCAGCAGTTGGAAGCAAATTAGTGGCCTCCTAACAAGACAAGGCTGTCTACCCTCTCCATACCTATTCAATATAGTACTCAAAGTTCTAGCTAGAGCAATAATACAGCAAAAAAAGATCAAGGGAATACAAATTAGAAAGGAAGAAGTCAAACTTTTGCTATTTGCAGATGATATGTTAGTATACAAAAATGACAACAAAAATTCTACAACTGATGAACAAACACCTTTAGTTAAGTGGTGAGATACAAGATTAACTCAAAACAAAATCAGTAGCCCTCCTATATACAAATGGTATATGGGGTGAGAAACAAATATGAGAAACATACCCCTTTATAATATCCACAAATATAGAGTATCTTGGGGTAACTCTAACTATACAAGTGAAAAACCTGTATGACAAGAAATTTAAGTCTCTAAAGAAAGAAGCTGAAGAAGATATTAGAAAATGAAAAGATCTCCCATGGTCTTGGGTAGGTAGGATCAACATAATAAAAATAGCAATCTTACCAGAAGCAACCTACAGATTCAATGCAATCTCCATCAAAATCCCAGCACAGTTCTTCATAGACATTGAAAGAATAATACTTAACTTCATATGGAAAAAACAAAAAACCCAGAATACCTAAAACAATCCTGTACAATAAAGGAACTTCTAGAGGTATCATAATCCCTGACTTCAAACTCTACTATAGAGCCACAGTAATAAAAATTGCTTAGTACTGGCATAAAACTAGACGTGTGGATCAATGGAATCCAACTGAAGACCCTGCTATTAATCCATATACCTATGAACTCCCAATTTTTGACAAAGAAGGCAAAATGGTACAATGGAAAAAGGAAAGCATCTTCAACAAATGATGCTGGTATAACTGGATG